TCAATCGCCATTTCGTGAGCCTTTTCTTGAGACATTCCTTCTATAATTAACGACCGCTCAAGTGAATCGGAAAAATCTTCAACGCGTTTGGCAAAGTCTGAATAATTGTTGTTGTTAACGTGTAACGCAGCTATTTTCCCTGCCACAACTTTCGAGTTGTCAGGTTTGATTCTATTACGTAGAGCAGATTTTATGTCACTAACGGAATTTATTTGTGCAGGTACGGCTTCGCGGGCTTTGCCCTCTAACTTGTATTTCAAAAATGCAATTAATGTACTGGTCAAATTTTCTTCAGCTAAGTCCTCAATCAAACCAAGCTTATCTAAAAACGGCTCGAGCGCTAACGGATCCCCACTATAATCTTCCCTATAATCGAAGCACAAAGGCTTATAAAAGACTTCTTTTGCTCTGCTGTGGCCATTTCTGTAAAAACTTTGGAATAAATTGAAAAATTAGGTGAACTAGTTGCAGCTGTTGGAATCTCTAATAGACTTTGCGAATCTTTGATGCTTGGAAGCGAAGCGCTTCTCTTAATGGCAAAACTTACTGACGCTTCTGATTTTGCGTCGGAGTACTCTTCTTCGGTNTCTGAGGGGCATGCGCGTTTAAAGCACGGACATTTGCATTCCTACTCCTACCGTTTGCTGTTCGTGCATTATTGTTCCTATTGGTGTTGTTGTTGGAATTAACCCGTGAACCATTATATTTATTATGATAGCGGTTTCGGTTAGCGGATCGATATCGTTGACTGTTATAGCTATTAAAGTTATTATTACTAGAAGAAAATTACCTGTTATTCCTATAACCAGTAAAATTGCGAGTTGTGTTAGCCCCACGATAGCCACCACGTGAATTTATAAACGTGTTAATACCACGCGATCGAAAAGTTAAAACCTGACGCTCCTTCACCTCATTCTGCTCTACAATAAGCTTTCCAACTGCGTCTTTAGAATCGGAAAATTTTGTTGAAGCTAAAATTAATTTTACTAAGTCAGACCTGGCGTTTAGACGGCACACGTTAACAGTTTGCTCAATCGCCATTTCGTGAGCCTTTTCTTGAGACATTCCTTCTATAATTAACGACCGCTCAAGTGAATCGGAAAAATCTTCAACGCGTTTGGCAAAGTCTGAATAATTGTTGTTGTTAACGTGTAACGCAGCTATTTTCCCTGCCACAACTTTCGAGTTGTCAGGTTTGATTCTATTACGTAGAGCAGATTTTATGTCACTAACGGAATTTATTTGTGCAGGTACGGCTTCGCGGGCTTTGCCCTCTAACTTGTATTTCAAAAATGCAATTAATGTACTGGTCAAATTTTCTTCAGCTAAGTCCTCAATCAAACCAAGCTTATCTAAAAACGGCTCGAGCGCTAACGGATCCCCACTATAATCTTCCCTATAATCGAAGCACAAAGGCTTATAAAAGACTTCTTTTGCTCTGCTGTGGCCATTTCTGTAAAAACTTTGGAATAAATTGAAAAATTAGGTGAACTAGTTGCAGCTGTTGGAATCTCTAATAGACTTTGCGAATCTTTGATGCTTGGAAGCGAAGCGCTTCTCTTAATGGCAAAACTTACTGACGCTTCTGATTTTGCGTCGGAGTACTCTTCTTCGGTATCAGAGTCAGCTAAATCTGTTTTGCAAATTAGGGCTAGAGGTTCTATGGGAATTTTAATCTGACAATTTAATTTTATAAAACACTTCCTTAAAAGATCCTTGCAGCGTGTTAACTTTACCTGTACTTCACTAAACTCACACGATTCGCTATGACCCTTGACGTGTAATAAAACTTTATTGTTCGAACTTATAAGTGAATCTCTATACTCTATACTATCTTGTCGAAAGAGGACGATTTTGCGGAATTCGCTTCGTAATTTTTAAAAATTCTGAATAATTTTCTTTAAATTCTTCGTCAAATTTGGTCATAATACGTTAAGTTTAAGAAAATACAAGAAAAATTACTTCTGCTAACTGCCGTTCACCGATTTTAAAAATGAAAAGTAAAGTTTACAAACTTTATTGAGCTATGTCCTTATATTATGTCCTAATACTTTTTAATGCAAAGAAGCTGGGAGTATTTCACATGCAACAGCAGTAGGATTTTATCGGGCAAATTCACATGCAAATTTTTTTCTTTAATGTTTTTATAATGTATTTCAAAAGAATTGTTAAAAGTTAGCTTTTTTTCTTTAATGTTTTTAAAATGTATTTCAAAAGAATTGTCGAATAGTAAAGTGTTTGGTACATATGTACATCAGTGTATGGTTTTGTATTTATTTTAATAACTTTCAGGAAGTTGTATTTTTAAAAAAGATAAAGCAATTAAATCGGTGTAATCGAAAAGATCAGAAAAATTATATTGGGTCACTTAAATCTAGTAATAGTTAATATTGTTGAAAAGTAAAATTGTAGTAATCTAAAAGATCAGAAAAATTGTATTGGGTCACTTAAATCTAGTAATAGTTAATATTGTTGAAAAGTAAAATTGTATTGATTCACTTAAAGCTAGTAATGTTTAATGTTGTTGAGAAGCGTCACTTATATCTAGGTGGATACTTTGAAAATTTAAATTTTTATATTAAAAAACAAATTAATTTCTTTGAAAACTTTTTGTTTCCCTTTTTTGAAATATTCGTTTAAATTTCACAATGTCAATTCGTACAATGTCAAGCTAAGGAGACGTATTTGTCGGTGCGCTGTAGTAACTTCACATTTAGTCCGAGTTTCCGTTGATATATGTATATATTGCCATAATTTAATTTCAAGCAAAGCTTAAAATGTCAACAAGAAGCAAAGTTACGCGCCAAACGGTATCGACACCGCAGAACAGTTCTCCCAATAAAGCTGGAAAAAAGAGAGCTCGCCACCAGTGTTGCCAGAACTTTTTGGGCCGACCGGCTAGATTGGCAAAAAAAGCGGCTAAAAACGGCTAAAATGTTTTAGTGAAAATTCACATGCTTTATTTAAATAAATCGCAAGAAACGAAAGACTAGTTAACACCATTAATTTATATCGAGTGTATATTCCTCATCATCAAATGAATCACTATTGTATATATCACCTGAATTCATTAATTTTAAGAGATCGTCATCTACAGTAAAATTATGGCAGCATTTTTCTTCACGTTTTAAACCGTATCTTATATATAAAATAGCGTTTAACGTTTTAACGCACATTGGATTTCTTTGCTTAGTTTTTATTATATTCATTGAACTAAATATTCGCTCTACTTCTGCATTACTTATAGGCAAAACAAGAAAACTAAAAACTAGGTTGCAAAGGTCAGCAAAAGGGTTTTCTCCTAGGGCATTTCGAAATTGATAAACTTCGGCCCAAAATTTTACAGTTGAGTCTAAATTACTCCAGGTATGTAACGTTAACCGTTGCCATTGCATCTCTATGGATGTTATTTCGTCGGCATTATATTTGTGTTTTTGTTGCTGTAGTTGAACAAATACTTTTGGTTTAATTACTCTTAATGCATTTCCAACCGAAAAAAGTCAATTTTTTTTAGTGTGGCAATATTTGTAGGGAGGCGTTGGCGTAATTCCTTTATTAAAGTGATAATAAAATAGCGACCATTTTCTCGAATTATTTTCTCGGCTTCGTGGTCAAAAGCGTTTGTGCTTACTTTTGTTTTTAAATACTCTTCAAAACTGTGATAAAACTGAGGAAATGGAGCAAGGTATGGTTCCAACGGGGAGCATATAGGATCAAATGTGTCCGCGCTAATAACCACTAGGGAGCATAGATGCGAAAGTAAAACATTGAGTTCATTAAAAATCTTCATTGGGTCTGCATTATTGCTTTCGAACAACTTGTTTACTTTTTGCACCTGAAAATTAGGCAAATAGTAAAATCGGCTAAAAACGGCTAACTTTTTTTTACAAACCGGCTAACAAATCGGCTGCCGGCTAGATCGAATTTTCTCCGGATAGTTGCTATCAAAACCGGCAACGCTGCTCGCCACCGTCATCATGGCTTGAGCGTATTGAAGAGCGACTGGACATGCAGCTGGCGAATCTTCGAAGGGCGCTGCAAAAAATGGAAGAACGTGTGACAAAGGCAGAATTCCAAATCGCGCAGAATGAGCAATTGAAAAAGGAAGTGGTGCTACTTAAGAACGAGGTAAATGATTGCCAAATCCAAGCTGTATCCACTGATTTTATCATCAATGGTCTGCCCTACGTTGACAAGGAGAATTTGGAAGCTACCTTTGGTAGTCTGTGCCAGAGTTTGGATTTGCCTGCGCTTCAGATTCGCTCTGCGTTTCGAATATTCAAACAGAACAACTCCACTGCTTCAGTGATTGTGAAGTTGGCGTATTCAGCCGATCGCTCCACCCTTTTCAAGTCAGTAGCACGCTTCTGCAAAGAAAAAAAAACGGCCACTAATGCTCCGTGATATTGGCTCCAACTCAGATGGGAAAATACATATACACAAGTGCCTTACGAAAAACAACCGCGCGCTAATGCGCTTTGCAATGCAGCAACGAAGAGATAAAAAGCTGGTAGCTGCTTTCTCAGTTCGTGCCCTTAGTGCAAAGCCGTGAAGGTAATTGATATGAAGAGCGTCAAAAGTGTTGTTGCTGCAGACACCTGATAGCGAGTGTTTATATATAGCTGTTACGTTTATGTCGTATGTGCTCTTTTTTCTCCTATTGCTCAACATCTTGCATCTGCTGCTTTCGTCTTAACTATTCTGCTTCTTATCTTAAGTTATTCTTTAATTACTCTTCTCTTGAAGTCGTAATTGTTTTCTTAACTACATGCCATGCATTACTCTGTCTTCTGCTAATGTCTTGTTCTTATGCAAACATACATACATGCTTTATTTGCTTGCTTTTAGTTGTTTCTGCTTTGGTCCAGTTTTGCGAATTTAAGTATAGGTCTGTTCGATAAGTCGGGCTACCGCGTTAATGAAAATAAGAAAATAAGAAAGTTGTTAAGCCGAAAAAAACTTGACTTTGCTAGGTACGTCTTCGAAGAGTCTGCGGTGGATGTAATTTGCGTTACTGAGACTTGGTTTCAAAGTGACTTTCTTGACTTCAACATTTCTTTCAATGGATTCAATTTATTGAGGCATGACCGCATGCATAAAAAAGGGGGAGGAGTTGCAGTGTATTGCAAACAAAATCTTAAATTCAGACTGCTAGCAAAGTCGAATAATAGTGAAATTGAATACATCTTTACTGAAATATCTCATGGGGAAACAAAATCATGTGTGTACAATCCTAGTAAGATTATTTGTCTTAATCAATTTTTTGCTGAACTGTATGAATATGTGTTAGATTATGAGCGTATATTGGTTTGTGGTGATTTTAATGTAAATTTACTTGTGAATGACCCTTATAGTTGCAAATTAATGGATCAGCTGGCAACAGCAGGACTGTGCGTTGTTAATGGATCTATCCCAACAAGATATGCAAATAATTCTCCACCTAGTCTCCTAGATTACTTTATAACCTGTGATCTCAAGCATATCCTTAAATTTGACCAAGTTGACTTTATTTCTGACCATGACTTAATATTTTGTACCGTAGATGTTGTATTGAATAGTCCAAGCTTATCGTGATTTTAAATCATTAAATGTGAACTCATTACATTCTGACTTGAGTAAAGTAAATTGGCGTGTGTGTTTTCATCTTGCCACAGTTGATAATAAACTTGACTTCCTAAACAAATACCTGACCATGTTATTTGATGTTCATGTCTCTCTTCGTTTTGCTAATGTTGTAAATTGTTCATGTCCATGGTATACTTCCAGAGTTCATTCTGCCATTAAGAAACTAAATAAATTTTATGCAAAGTGGTGAAAAAATAGTACAGACTTGTCCTGGCGCCGCACAGTGGGCCACCCCATACAAGTTAGCCGGAAAAAACTATTTTATTGCTTCTGATGATTGGATTTGTCGTTAAGTGGCCATAAAGAAATTCACCTTGATCGGGATCGATTGGATAGTTCCAGAGGTCCATTGAGGAGGGTTTGTAGCAAAAACGGTATATTGAAGTTATCTTATATATATAAATACGCCACAATAAAATTTTGAACCCCCTTTTTTGAGGGCATGGTTCGCTCGATTTCACTGAAACATATACCGATTTAAAGGATGTAGCTTCCTCCAAACCATAAATGTTCACCCCATTATACAGGGGGCGTGGTATCTGATATACATAGTAAAATATGAAAACCGATATATCTCTAAACCCAATTATGCTGGGGAACTGAAACTTGGCACGGATGCATAGATTCTAATTACCCCACTCACGGCGAAAAGTGGTTTGCATTGGAAAAGGGGGCGTGGCACTTCCCATACAAACTGAAATTTTCATATCGCTTATCTCTGGAACCGCTTAAGCTTACGTCCTGAAATTTGCCACAGCTATATATTGTTACGATAATCCTTGAATACTTGACCGGCGATACTAGTATAAATAATTTAACTGGTAGCTATTTTAGAGACATCTTAACCTAATTAAGTATGACAAAAGCTTTTAAATTAATTGTATAGCTTTACACTCCAAACAAAACACTATTTCAAGTTTGAATGTAAATTGTTAAATATATTCAATTATTTTTTAATGAATATATAACTTATAACTACATATTTTTTGAGTTATGTCTGCGAAATGTCACTGTCGGAGTCTGAACTTTCATCTGTTTCATTGGTCGCGTAAGTTTTGTCCGAATCCTGGTGACTTACGAAATCTATATGCGGTTCTTTTAAGAAGCTGATGACTTCGGGCGGAAGAGATCGAAAGTTTTTTAGTGGCTTTTGGCGGTAAGTATTGATTAACGGATCAGACGTTATCAAAAGCATGTTAAGCAAATCCCTATTCGTGTTGACTCTAGAAGATTTTCGGGTATGTGCCACTCTGAATCGCCTTGTTGCGTGCTTCCTGAGCTTCTTCTGATAGCTGCCCTATTGGCACGATCCAATTTTTTGTAACTTCAGTAGAATGGCATATTATCTTATGAACACTGACTGGCATAGGATACCACTCGTATGAATTTAGGTACCTTCGTCTGGTTTCCTGGATGAATTTTTGAAAAGCGTCAATACTAATCTCAAATCCTGATGATAAGCAACTCAGTATTATATAAAACCTTTTTATAATTTCTTCTTGTAATCCTGTTATTTCAGCACTTTTGGTGTGGTTCATAAAAAATCTCCTTGCAGTGTTGCCATCATTAGTTGTGCCATATCCAGGCTTTACGCCATCAATTATTAAGCCCATTTCACTTTTAAAACGAGACTGAATATATTTTTTGCGAAGTCCTACAGAGTCCTTGTCGGCAGTTTGCCTGATAATATATATTTTGACGTCTAATCTGTAAGCGATATGCAGCATACATTCGAGTGTTTTGATCCATGCATGTAAAGTTGATAGCCCGTAAGAATAATATTTAGCATTGGGCTCTTTTGTGAGTTCGATTGCATTCATTTCGCTAGGTTTGGCTCCGCAAATATAGCACGACTGAGTTGATTTGTGGCTTGTCAAATAATTTGCAATCTTACCATCGATCATCGTCAATACAAATTCAAATGTAACCTTAATATTGTGAGGTCCCACAGAACATTCAAAATCTTGTAAGCTTTCAATTTCATTCCAAATTCAATTGAATTCTTCAAGTGTAAAAACCTCAGTTTCTTTTGCGAATATGAATTTCATGGGACGACAAAGTCTAGTCGACGAAGGAGTAGGATTTTGCCAGATGATCTCATTAACATTTGCTGTAACTCGTAGCTGTAAAGGTACAAACGACAACAAAAACAGAGACGAATCCAGGCCCACCTCTTCCGTAAATCTTTGCTTATAGGTACTATGACCTGAACTACCATCTCCACCCCATTTGCAAATGAGCGTAAGCGAGCTGGAGTTCTTTGAAAGCTATCAAAAACTGATTGTTGTGCTTTGAGTAGCCGTCGAGTTGTATGGTGAACAATCTCTTTCACATTTAAAGAAGCATAAGTTTCGTTTACATCTATGGCACTTTCTGGTGGAAAACATTCTTGCTTAGCCCTTTGCAAAACGTGTTTTGAGGGATATAAATTATGTCCTGCAGCAATCGCCTGTTTTCGTAAAACTAAATAGCTATTTCGCGACAATTTGGCATCGACATACAAAGCGAGTGCTTCTTCACCTGTGTACACTCGTTTGGATTTGTATTTTTGTAAATTCTTGTATTGCATTGCAATTTCGGGAGATTCGCTTACACTTTGCATTAGTTTGGCTGCTACACGAAATCCACTTGAACGCTTAGACATATGAGCTGCATACGACAGCTCAGCATCAGATCGTGACTGAAGAAGATCACGTACTTTGTAACACTTTGCTCTGTCGTCGCAACTTTCAAATCTTTTTGTAGGTCTTCCTCGCTTAGAAGAGGAAGGTAACTCATCCCTCATATTCTGTTCAGGTTGTTTATTACAATTAACTTCCGCCAAAGCAAAGTCGTTTTTAAGCCAGAGCTCAAATTTTTCTAGGAACCTAAAACAAAACGTTCCATTACCAACTGATAAAAAAATCTCAGAACAAAGCTCTTACCTTTCCTTACAGTTACCAGCTGTAATCCACTTTTTGCTGATTTCATTACAAATGAAAGAAATTTTTAATTGAATTTTTCGCTTCATTTCATTATCCAAGTCTGAAATGTTAGCTTTTTCAAATGTTCGCGAACACAACTGAGCGACTCGTTCCTTTTTTGACGTAGCACACCACATCTCGAAAAACTCCATGCGTGAAAATGAAATTATTCTTTTTTCCATTGCGTTTCTTTATTTAACTTTCGCTTTTTTAGCACTAAACTTTTAATCGCATTGAAATCGTATTAGCCAAAAAACATAACAGAATTTATACAAAGCCAACTTATACACAAAAAAAATTATGTCTCTCCACTTAAGTGCTAATAACTTCTATATTTGTTATCCAATTTAGATGAGCAGGGTCTTATTGTATTTATAGAATATCATGCTTTGGCGTCCAAGTATGCGGAAGTTAACAAGTTCTTTAATGTTGATATTTTTACCGAAAGTATTTCTTTTATTATTATTTTTTTTATTATGCAAAATTTTCTATATATGTATCAATTGTTAGCTCCTAAACTATGAATGCGGTTGGAAAACATTCTTTACATATAATATGAGATTGGCCAACTATATAAAAAAATTTAATTTTTGTATGGGGCCTTCCAAAGGAGAGGATATAGGGATATGTTCCCAGGAAAATATTATTGGGGAAGGAAAAATAATGGGGGTATGTGGTACATTTGATCCCTTTAGAAGCAAATCTTGGGTAGGTATGACCCTTTTTCGTATTTCATTACAGACTCTGCTTGATATATTGTGGAGTTTAACATTGTTGCAAGGTCTGGCTTAAGTAGTATCTAAAAGAAGATATCATGAAGAGCTTCACAAAAAAAATTTAAGAAAAATACATGACAATACAGTGTTTAGATTGTCCAAAAAAGTTCGCCTTTGTTGATAATTGTGGACGAAAAAACGCCTAATTTTGACACATTACTCTATCTACGTCCCTCATCATATATCAATTGTTTTTATTTCATTAAAAAGAGCATCATTTTCTATGCCAAATACATTTTTTCCAGCGTCTTGGTACACAACTGTGATGAACAACAGACCACTTTTTAAAAATGTCTATTTGATTTTTGTACTTTTCAAAAAACAAAGTTTCAAAACTTCAAATTTAACCTACAAAAAAATAACAAAGTGGGCTTTCAAACACCAAAGGATACTTTTTTCTATGTAATTGGACATTTCCTAACAAGTTGGAATTATCAAAACATCAAAATTCCATTTTGATTTTTTTCCGGCTAAACTCGTCATATGGCCCATTGTGCGCCGTTACAAAGAAGTTCGTAATGAAACTAATAGTATAATAAAGCAAGCAAAGCGCTGGTATAGCAATTCTAAACTAGATCCCTCCCTTCCATCTAAAGAGCTATGGCGCAATCTGAAGAATTTTAAAATACATGGTAAAGAAAGATCTGAGTGTGATATCGAAGTTGATGTGCTTAATGATTACTTTGTCAGTAGTATAACCAAATGTACTGACGCCTCAATGGATTTTTCATCCTGTACCAGTTTAAAAGACGAGTTTCAATTCACTGCAGTTAGTGAGCTTGACGTTCTGAGGTCACTATCGAACATTAAAGCTGAAATTAGTCGAGAACGCAGAACGTCTACTTAAACGCAGTCTGTATACGCAGAATTTT